GGCGAAATTCTCCGACTGAATTGACCTCTTTTACCATTTTCTGACTTAATTACATTATAATTACTGAAATTACTCAACTTACACCATGAACCACACACAAGACCGTGACGGCCACGTCGTGCACCACCGACGACAATAAGTCGACACTCGACCCACTACACTTACCTCTCGGCCAATTCAGGTCAATCAAACTTAAATAACACTTCAGGCCATTAAAACATAACTTGAATGAACAACCATGACCATAACTGAAAGAAACATGATATGCTACCCGACAGCCCGTGGCATGCGCGATGTGCGCTGCCACCTACTCGGCCGACTACCGACCGACTCAAACAAAATTCAGCCACCCAACACACTTGAACATCTAATCGCATATCTCAGTTTAAATAAGCTTACTTGATCAAATAATTCCTTAAATTAATAAGATAATCTCAGACATACACACACACACCTACACGCACGGCCCACACAAGACCGTACGGCTCAAGATCACAACATGAACTTGACTTGAATCTCGATTAAACTCTCTTATTAACAACACAATCAGCTCTAATGGAGTCTGATGTTACCTCTGCAACTCTGATTGGCTACACTTCGGCGAAGGGATGCTCTTAGCGTGGCGAAATCGATGTCGTAAGCTCGCGTGCGATAGGGGTGATAATACGATGCACTTTCCCTTGATCAATTAAGAGAATTTCTGATCTCTCTCTTCACTCTCTCTACTGAACTATGCCCTCTCTCTCTCTCTCTGAAGAAAACGAATGGAAAGGAAAATAAAAACATTCGGTCTCCACTCCTAATATGCTAAACCGAGAGCAAAATATGGGAGACGTGGCTTTCTTGCATTTGAAAAATTGTCTCTCTAATAGCTACCTTGGTGATGACTAATCACCTCCTTCTTATGCCACGTTTCAAAGTCAAAAGAGGAGAAAAATTTTAGCTTTCCAACTTATAAGGAGGCTCACGGTTTTATTTGCTGAAATTGGAGAAAAAATATAGCCTAACTCACGGCTTCAACCTTTAAATTGTGATTAATTGCTCATTAATCACTAAACTATGTTTAATTGCTTAATTAAACATAATGCTTAATTACCAAAATTATTCCGAACGTAAACGATACGTCGAAAATAGATTTCGGTAATCTCGACTGAAATAATTAATTCCGAAAATAATAATCGACAACGTTATTATATCGGAACTAAAACATGATTTATATTAATAAACTGACGGGATATTACAATAAGTCTAGTAAAAGATGTCCCACATCGGTTGTTGAGGAGAACGAAGCATGCCATATAAGTGGCTGTGGACACCTCAACCTTCAGGACGCGTCTGGGTCAGTACCAGAACAAAACCCTAGAATCAGATCAGGGACAAAATCCTACCACGCACCGCTGCGCAGTGCGAGTCAGGGTTA